AATTTTTAGTACCTGGTATTGCCCGTCTAGCAGAGAGAAGGGGGGGGGGGGGTCCGTGGTTGGTGATTTACCGGTCAGCATAACGTTTGCTTGCTTCTGTTGTCTTCGCAGCAACCGGTACACACCTGTAGAGGAGACGGGAAAGTGCACGTGCCGAGAGGCCGTTGAAGTTGGTTTTGTATCCGTAGCGACACACGCACGACAATGGTTGGTACTGATAGAGTAGCACGAAAGTAAGGCGCGGCGGGGTGGAGAGGCGTTGTTGTGTCTAAAACTGTGCTTGTTTTTCGTGGCGGTCGCCTTTTTTAAGAATAAATAATATATGCTCTCCTATTGGTGGTCTCGTTGTCATTTTACGCCCAATCTTGAGAGCAAGCAAGCGTGGCGATAGAAGAGTAAGTAGCTCTTGAGGCATTGGGAGTAAGTGTGGCAGCTCTTTCTGCTCAGGCAGCAAAAAATTGATATTACGTTGCCCCCTTCGATCAACGGTACAATACATCTCATTATTGTGCGCGGGAGTGGGGGGGTAGGCACTGCAGCAGCAGCAGCAGCAGCAGCAGCAGCAGCAGCCAAAACCTTGGGTACAGGTTGGCGGTATCCTTGCATGTCGCGATATTGTTAGTCAATGGTAAGGTGTATAACAATGTACCAAATACACCGTTTTACAGCAGCAGCAGCAGCAGTGTTGCAGTCGGTACATGTTGGAAAGCGGGAGGCAATGCTCTTTTGGGAACAAAAAAAAAAAAAATCGCTCCTTGGGATTGACGTGTTCCGTATCAAGTGGCCACGTGGTGGAGCGCGTAGGGGAGGTTGGGTTTCTTGTTGTTGCTCGGGAAGGTCGTGTTGGAGACGATACCGGAGTGTTAGACGCTTGAGTTTTTTTAGACGTCTCCACCCGCCCCCACCCCCACCCCCCCACCTCCAGATAATGTTTTCCTCCTTGTTGAAAGAGGCTGAAATTAATGCGAAATAAAGATTAGGACGTACGTACAGCAGTAGCAGTATTGAAGTATTTGATTTGTTTGGTGTCGGAGATTGATTGGTGCATGTGTGTGATAACTATTCCGATGAAAATTGATGGGGGAAATACACGAAGAGCGAGTGCCAATCCAGTCAGCGCTGCTGCCATGGAGGCCGCAATACCCCGGGGGCGGCAGGGGTCAGAGAGGCAGGAGGCTTGCGGCACTTTCGCTTCCTTTCCACTAGAAACGGCCCACACGCAGACAGGAGACCCCAAAACGTGGTCGTGTTGAGCGCGCATGTGGATGGGGGCATCATGCCTGAAAATTCTTTGGGACATCTTCAACAAAAACTGAGAAAGTTGACCACCTACAACTAATCTACCAAGAACGGAAATGGATTATTGGCAACGCTTCATATTAGTGCGAAGGGAGCTTGGCCCTCCCTGGGTATCTATTCCCTGCTCCTCTGCTGATACACATGCCTTCCCAAGCATGTGCAAAAGTGCGTAGCCTCTCAGCGAAAAACTATCGGTGTCAAAAGAAGCAGTTCCGCCAACCGACAGGAGACTATAAAAGAGTATCGTTTCTCGACCGATTCTGCAGGAATCAATCCGGATGCACAAAAAAACAAATACATCGACTGCTCTTTTATTAATCACAGCAGTTGCATTATTGGAAGGGACGTCGCCATCTGTTGCTCTACAGTAGCTGGATAATGTACGGTCACTTTGCCAATGACATGCATACGCCTGGGCATGATTATTCACCACTTGGATGCTCACAACAATTAATGCTACCGTCCTCCGCCAGGATGGCCTAATTGTTCCTCAGACTTGTATAGCGGCATCTAGGGCGAGGACTCAATCAAATGCACGCACACAAACAAACGGTATTCACTCCCAAGCAAAATTACCCCGTACGACATGAGCCAACACACAACAAAAGTAAAGCGCCCAAAGAGCAGGGGTAGAGTATATCCCGCTGCTAGATACGGTACTTCTTGGTACAGAAAAAAAAAGCACGCGTACAAAGAAAAAAAACACGCAACTCTTTCGTGTGATTTGTTTCGCCCGCCGGTCGCACCAGCACAAGCCGACGCACAAGGCGAACGAAATGGAGGCCAATGCTACCTGACGTGCTTTAGCGCTGCCGTTACACATTAACCACAACAACACCTCAATGGGAGGGGAGGAAAATGCAACACTTGTACACACGAAACCTACACAGACGGGGCGTGGGCACCACACCAGCTCGGAAGGAAGAAGAAGACCAGCAGCCGCTGTGCGTTGAGGTGTGTGCGTGTGCCGGAGAAACGGCTCGTCATAGGCGCACGCCCGTACAACTACACGCTAAAAATCCTCCCGCACCCCTCAACATCGAAACGCCTTGAGAACGAGGTACAGCAGCGAGACGACGAGATCAACATCTTGCAACAGCAGCAGCAACAGCAGCAGCAGCAGCAATAGAGCGCTATTTTCGCCACCTCGGCGTTTCTTATTGTTGACGAATTTCAAGGCAGGCGCCGAGCGAAAAAAAAAAGAGACGGCGCAGCCGGGTTATGACCTGCCTACGAAACAAAAGAACAACCAAACCAACACGGGGACGCGAAAACCGACCGGCCAAACACTCAAATTCACTCCGGCAGTGCCGCCGTTTTCTCCGCGGCCGCCTTCTCCTCGGCCCGCCTCTCGCTCTCCTCCAGCTCCTCCAGCTCTATCCTAAAGTACTCCTCGATGGAAGGGAACTCGGGCTCCCACCCCAGCACTCTCCTGGTCGCGCTCGAGTCGTACACCTTCCTGGCTCCTGTCACCGCGAACTCGGGCGGCGTGGCGTCCTGCGTGAACTTGGGCATGGACCTGCGGAAGTAGATCGGGTGCTCCAGGGCCACCTTGCAGATCTTGCGCCGCGTCGTGGGGGAGTGGTCCGCGGCGAGGAAGACCTTGCCCTTCACCCCCGGAGCGCCGTCCACGTCCTTGATCTGGTTGATCCCCGCCTGGAGAGCCGCCACCACCGCCGAAGCGGCGTCCTTGTAGGACACCAGGTTGATCTTCCCCTGAGAGTGGTGGTTCAGCTGAGGAGCAGGGGGGGGGGGGTACTCCTTTAAACGCATGCCGAAGTCGTTGGACCATTGACCTCGCATCCCTACGATCCTGGGCGGAGCAATATGCCGGGTTTTCGCCGGCCCAGGCAGATTTTTACATGGATGAACTAGAAGGAGGGGGCAAACAGAAGTGGCGATAGACTTGACGACGGAGAGATCGTAGGTTGGACCTCTGTGTCGAAAACTGGGACATAACTCTAGGCAAACTGCGAACGTCATTTTCTCTGGAACCGACCGTGGAACCTTCCGTGTGCCATGCTGTCATGGTATCTTGAATTTTCCTGTTAAGAAGAACAAACGCCCATGTGTCGTCAACGGAAACCCGAGAGCTCACGCCCGCCACGATATTGGACGTGGCGACGCTCCAGTCCCATCTACACACACACCAAGCCGGAACGGTCTTCTCTGTGTTAAGCCCCAGCCAGACAAGACACTCACCCTTTTCTCTTTCAGCCAGACAGAGTGTGGCCCCCTCTCCGCGGAGTAGAGGCCGGCTAATCTCACTACGCAGCCGCCGCCGTCCAAGGTCACCAACTCGGCGACTGCCGTCGAAGGAAGACAGCACCCGCCCGACATGAACACACAGCAACACGAGGAGCAGGCGTTACGATACACCGATGATGGATGCGTGAACGCGGCGCGGTGGAACATGGGGGCGAGCGACATAGCAACATCTTTCGGCGACGGTAGACCCGAGAACCGTCCGTTGAGAGCGAGGGGAAAACGTAGTGCTGTGAGAGGCGGAGAGACGGCATCCCCCCCCTAGACCGATGTTCAAAGTTAGATTGCTCCACAATCAGGCTTGCAGTTGTTGTCTTCGCATTAAAAACCGTTCCTTTCTCTCTGCCCAGTACCTTCTTCTGTCCGTACTAATAGTCTAGCACTTGACGGGGTCGATTCCCGTGGTCACAGGCTAACTTAACCAAGAAAGGTATAGAAGCGCAAAAAAAAACGGACCCGAAGGGTCCGCAAGTCAATAGAAATCATAGACAGATTTAGGCTTGTGTGCCAACACTAAAAATAGTGGTTTGAGACCGTCTTGTGGAGGGCTTTGAGAAGAAGACGTATCGGGCTCTTTCCGCACCCTCTTGGTTGTGGAGTAATGTGCGGGGGGGGGCTCTATAGTGCGGGATATATAGCGGGGCTGCCCGCTATTTTGCGGGTGAAATCGCTCGGCACAGATGGAATATTCAAGACGGTTAACACATTGAATAACGCGGGTGCCCGAGAAGTGCGGGTGAAATCGCTTGGCACATACCGGCACTATAGAGGGCCCTCCACTGTGTCTTTGAAAGTCGATCTAGGGGTGTGTGCCATCTCTCGCATCCTTCCGTATGACGGTCGAGAGATCATGTACGAATACTCGCGCGCATAAGAAAGCAAGAAGCAATTATAGCATGCACTCCGACAACGTAGCTAACGTCAACCTACGTAGAGGGTGGAAGGATGTACTCTCCAACCACGTGAAATATGAAGATGCTGTTGGTATTTCTCAACCTTGCTCAAAGTTTACCGCACCACTGATTCTGTTTCGACTTATCCAACAGGTTTGCATAGGTATCGGTGTCGCTCATTCTTCGTGCACCCTGTATGCATACGACGTTTACCGCGGGAGAGGGAAGCATCGAAAAAGCAGCAAAAAAGAGGACAACATGGACAAATAAAGTACTTTCCCGCCCCCTTCCGACGCATTAGTATGTTGCACACACCACACACACAGGAACGCGTACAACGCATACACACAACGTATAGTGTACGTACAGCGTACAAATTGTCCACCTCGCTGTTGGAAGCCTGAAGTCCCCTCCCCGCTCCGAAAGCAAGAAAACAACAATGCCACAAAGACAGAAAATGCTGTGGCTCTTGTTATTCACTCAGTCGCATTAAAACCGTTCCGATCTCTGCTCAGTGCTTTTCCAACACCAGTCAACACAGCCACTTCATATCATATGAGAGATGTGAACTCACTTCTGAGCGGCGAGTTAACTTTGGCTTCGTCTATGGGCGAGTCTTCGGTGACTACTCCTCCGTCCTTCTCCCCGTACACGCTGCCCGAGGACGTGAATACGAACATCCCCGTTCCGTCCCACACATCCTCCATGGCCGTGAAAACTTCTCGCGCGTAGTCCTTGTTTCCTGGTGGTATCGGCGCAGGTCTTTTGGGGGTAAATCAAATAGGGCTTGAGGGTAAAATCGTTTGATCGCTCGCGGGTGGCAACAGGTGTGGAAACGTACGCGGCTAGTCATACCAAAGACTACGACAACGGTGGCAGTTCGTTTCCTCGGAGCAAGGGTCAGCAGAGGCCTACTAGACAGAAACGCAGAGAGAGAACGAGAGCGAAAGAGAGGGAGAGGAAGCGGGGGAGAGAGAGGGGGGGTGGGGGGAGGGAGAGAGAGAGAGAGAGAGAGAGAGAGAGAGAGAGAGAGAGAGAGAGAGAGAGAGAGCGGGGTGGTGGTGGTGGAATGAGAGTCGCACGACGAGCGAACACCACACCCCGGCTGCCGCTCCAGCACTCACCGCCGGGGTTGGCACAGAACACCACGTTGGGGCACTTGACCCCCTCCTCCTCCCTGTTCTTTCGCATGACGTGGGTCATCCCCGGCGGCATGAAGGTCTCGTGCCGCGTGTACGAGCGGGTCTCACCGTACATCTTCGCCTCGGGATGCTTCGAGCCCCACTTCTCCCCGATGATCTTGCTGCGAACGCAAGACGCCGCGCAAAAGGCGCAGTCGGGTCGTTGGGACGAGAAGGAATGCGGGAAGAGGAAAGGAGGGCCGGCAGAGGGAAGCGCGAGGGTGGGCATCATGGTTAGCACCCTCATGTAGGTGTGGTACTGATGCGTTGAGACTATGTACGTCTTTTCATCGGTCAGCGCGGTCAATGCTAACAATAAACGCACAAACGAGAGGGCCTGTGTGCATTGTTTCTTTCTGGGAGGGGCGGTCAAGCTGTGCATAACGGACGTCCGCCCTTGCTGCTGTGCATCCCATTGGTTTCCTCAGCTGGCACGTGTTGTGCTGGCCGGGGCTCTCTTTCGACGCTCTACTGCTACACTTCGGTGGGGGTGTGCCACACACAAGAAATGAGGGCAGATAAATGTTTTTGCTGCGTTTCTTGTGAGAAAATGAATGAACATAAGCGTCCTCTACGCCCTGGAGGCAACTTCCAATATGGAGGCCATCAACAACATCCACTAGTTTCGACAATATTGCAAAACGTACAGCAGTAGTTGTACAACCCACAGCTACCGTCACTGGTGTATTCACTGGCGTATGTACTGTAAATAATAGCCCATGTCACAAAGCAGGGATGTGATGTAGCTCACGGCCTTATGTATGCAACAGAGGATGCACTCATTTGCAACGTTGCAACAAATCGCAAGATAAGGGGTGGGTGGGAATGCAAGAGGGTAAGCATGCACAAGAACATGCAGTTTGCGGCGGTCACTGTGGAAAGATGCTCATTATGATTGATGAACGTACATGATGTACCAGAGGAGGTGTACATGTAAGTACATGCGGTAGGCCTCACGCGGAGACATGTACATGTAGATCAATGCAACTGCTGGAACTATTCACCCATGACACAATAAGAACCCTCTCTCTCAGCGATGCAAACACGGAGCTCGTCAACGAACTCCCGTCCTTTCCATACTCACCGACTGCTGCCTGCCTTGCGCGAGTGTGCGAGAGACAAGCAGCACCAAACGGTTGATGGTCACGGCGATACTCATACTCTATAGCAGCAGCAGCAAGCCAGCAAGCCAGCAGGAGAGCGAGGGGCGGGACGCAACAAACTTCGTGTGTCAGATTGCTGCTGCTCCCAGCGAATGTGCTCACTCACCCAAGGTAGCCAGCTCCGACGACGTACAGATCGTTCTCCCCCCCGCTCATGACCGTTCCCGCGTTGCTGGCGCGACCCACAGAGCGAGCACCACCTCGAACATGACTGCTGCTGCGGCCGCCTGCAACAGAGGACCTTGAACTGGGACCGTGTTGTTTCGAGGAAGAAGAGCTGGGAAGGCTTGCAGACGGCAGGAACGCTTGCGCAAGGCCGAGGGACACGGCCGCGCACAAGCCGACTCGTCGAAGCAGCAGCGCCATACCAAAATTACGATGGAAAAATGCAGTGTGTGCAGCGTGCAACGCGCAGGGGCAACAACCTCTCCGACAGACTCCTCAAGTGCTCTTTCCCTGAGATGGATGATGAAAAACGGAATTGTCTAGAGATCCGGAAGGCGCTTGGCCATCAGGGGGTAGGGGAAGGGGCTCCGACATTTTATTCTGCCGTATCCTATCCTGCTGTGCCAAACCTGCCGCGTGGTCCGCTGCACGGCAATTCAGTCGTAGTGCACGGCAGAGGCACAGCCAAGCTGTAGGAGTGTAAGCGAACAGAGGCTGGGATAGCAGCAACTACAGCACAGCGGGTTTCCTTGTGATCACGCACGTGGCAGCGTGAAATCCTGCAGTTCCTCTCAAAAGGTTCTCTGCTTACAGATTCATCAAGACCTTGCATCGGAATTCAGAATTTTTCAAGTCGAAGTGGAGATTCTCCGGCAGGTTCAACCACAGCAAGCAGAGTGCGACCGACAGCAGCACAGCAACGGAGGCTCAGCTCAAGAGGACCATGGCAGACAGGGTACTTCTGTCTGATGTCAACATTCTGACCTTCACCCGCTCCAAGAAAACCACGCAGTGAGTTGAGCCTTGAGAATCCTTTCGTGTGCATGTGCAAGAAAAGATGAGAGGGTGAAGAAGTTTTGGTTCTTCTTGTGCCTCTCTGCCGTCGACGGTGCTCTTGTTTGCTTGCCGAGCAGGGAAAAGTCCTTGACCAAAGGGTGACCAACGACTCGCGGCGCAGTACCGTGCGTGCCATGGTCCCGCGTAGCACTGGGCCACGTTGATCCATCCCTGAGGAAAATTTTGCAGCAAGCGGTGCGCGTGGCTGCTTACTAGCGACGAGCCCTGTAGACAATGTTCCGGTGTTGGACGATAGCCCAGCGGTAACTGAAATAGGGCCGCCAAAGTCTGCTGGATGCGCACAAGCAGTTCCATGTTGTCACGTGTGTCGAGTCTAACTCTTCATCGCGAGAGGATTCGCCGATCCTTGCCTCAAGTTTGTACTCACCAATGTGTAACACTTTCCATGTGCGGTGCTGCGGCACGAGAACCCGGCATGAGTTAGCGTCGGACGCTGCTGCTACTATTCTTGTGGTATGTTACCCGACATGTTTTTTCATGTTCTCCGTCACTTTAGTCAGCGCACGCAGCAATCTAAGTTGGATCTCCAATCCTGGTCACGCCGAAGGGTTCCTCCCCTTAAGGCCCCCTGCGCACCCCTCCTGCGGTGCTTGTCTTCGATTGTTAACCCGCGAATTGTACGTTGAAGTTAAAAGAAATCCGGCTGACGGGAATCAATGGTTGCGAGGAGAGGTATCAGTCCCAATGCCCCATCCTGCAAACCTTACCTCTCTTTATAGAGGCCCTTCGTTGAAGTTGCGTGGTCACAGTATCCTTCATGAAGGAAAATGGCACCTAAATTATCTGCATTATAAATCGAGCTGAAGTGACGAGCACTTCGGACACGAGAATATCGATGCAGTTCCGAAACGCGCGAAACGAAGCTCGCTCGCGGTGAAGAAAAAGGGGTCGGCACGTGGTACAGCAAGCAGCATGGCAGCGCAGGAGAGTTTGGGTCCATACAGAAGGGGGGCCGCAGTTAGATAACGTCAAATGTGTGTCGAGGTTCAGTTTGTTATTACGCCGCCACCGTCGAGCGTGACATCAAGCAGTAGGCAGAGTTTAGTGCAGGATCCATTGCTTAGCTGTGTTTCTGAACCATGTTTCTTAGTTTTCGTTACAACTGGCTCTGGTTATGCACAGAATATATTTACGGGACCGTTTTGCACTTCCCCCTCCTCCCCCTTCTCCGACATGCGGTCTGTTTTTACCGAATATAAGCGTGACTGACTGCTGTTTGTTGCACACGAAGATTCGCGGGTCGTAGGTATACGTCGGAAATACTAGTATATGCTGCTGCTGCTTTTCAAGCCTCGGCTGATGGTTCAAACATGTCCGAACCAGCAACCCGCGTGAAATCGATCGAAATCGTTCGTTCCAGATGATGTGCGAACAGTTTTGATATGCAAAACAGCGTACCAGAGGTCAAGCGTTCCTTGTCGACTTGCATTCGAACTGCTCGCCTCTGACTCCAGAATCGCTTCTTTGCCTTGTTACTACTAGCGACCTTGTCTCGCCCCTGCACCCGTGCTAATATTACTCTCTCCCCTTCTCTGCCTGTCTCTCTGTCTGTCTTTCGCCGCCCCCCACGGCGCTCTCTCTCTCCATTGCACCCCTGTCGTCACCGTGTTCATTTTGTTCGGCGGGCCGCTGCACCACTACGCAGTCGACGCGTCCCCGCCGTCCAGCAGCTGATTTGCGATGACAGCGGCCCCGCCGGATGTCCCAACAAGAAGGAGTACCTCTTCGAGTACGCGACATGCGAAAACGAAGGGGTGAGAGGAATCTCTGGTCGGTGAACAACAAATTGCAGATGTTGTTCATGCTATCCAGTTGGTTGACCTGGGCCGACCCATTCGGAACTGGCGCGTTTTTTTGGTGGAGAACCCAATTGGCCTGGCTCCCAGGGGGATCAAAACGCCTTTCCCCCACTAACAGCAAACAACGTGCCTGCACTCTACCCTACAGCTATAAGACGGGGCCGGGTATTTCCGATCAAGCGCTCGCTGTCGTTTGCTGTTCGCTTTCACGCCCGGACATCCTAGTGCGAGCGTGTAGGTTGAGCTACGTGTTCGAGCGGATCGGTTGCCTCGCTCTTCCTCGCACCGATACGGCTCATCTGCAGAGCTTGTACGTGTATGTAGGCTATACACGGACGCCACCGGCGCAGCATACTTCAACCTTTGTCTTCCCACTAGACATCGAAAGAAGAGCACATGAACATGGTTGTATTCCCGCCAAACCAACCACGAACGTCGGGGATAGGAACCACAACCTCCAGGCACACAAAAAAAAAAAAATACCACACACGTTTCTCATTGGTCAGCCGGTAAGCGCGGCCGCTGCTATTCAAGGAAACTCACACGCGTGCCCGCTCACACATACGCAACAACGTACCCATCGAACATGCACGCACGCGTTGGATTTGGACAGATCGGCGAGAACATGATGCCGTCCTGGTCGTGCACGGCCTCAAGTCTCCCCAAGGACACCGAACTGGGAAGCGTCAACGTGTCCTGCGAGGGCTACACGTACGGCGACGACCCGTACGTCCTCGCCGGAAGCTGCGCCATGGAGTACACCCTGACCGGACCCACGCCGCAGTAAGTGTGTGACCACTACTACCTCGAGCGAACGTTTCGCACTGGCACGCACGCAGGAGGAAAGGCGGGCCGCTCGCGGACCTTCGTTTGCTGCAGTGCCTCTAGTGAGAGGAAGGCAATATGTGGAGTGTGCCGGTTTTCCCTTGTACGGCAGGAAAGCGGGGGGGGGGTCACGAGTAATCCTCGTCCCTGTAGTGTGGTTTTCCGTATCGTCGGGTCGTTACGTTTCGGGCACCGAGCGTTCTTCGTCGTGTGGGTATGCTTGATCCAAGTGCTACGCATACCTTGTTCGTAGCGCAAGATCATGCCAACGGTGACTGTCCCTCGGATGTGGAATCCCGAGCCGGTCGTGTCGCGGAACAGGGAAAGAGTGTCCACAATGTGCGACCTTACGCTTACCTTTTTTGTTGGGGAAATGTCGCGAAAGCCTCTTACGAGATTTATGGTGAAATCGAGATCGATCCGCAGCAGCGGCAGCATTATTGTGTTCGGATTTTTCTGTGTGCCTGCTCTCTGGGCTTTTTCGCGGGGAGTCGACTCGAAGCAGAACGTCCTTCCTGTCGACACCAGATCAGAGGAGCAACTGCTTGTCGTGTACTCCAGCGCTCAAGACATGCCCCGTTCCGCATACAAGCCCACCGCCAACTATGGTACTGCTGTAGTTTTCTCAGGCGGCAATACGACTAAATCAATCCTGCGTGACCTTCCTCGTTTGTACACCGAAAGGCTCGTAGGCTTGCTTCAGAATAACGTAGCTGTGAAGGACACACACACGTATACACCTGATCGTTCGCGGATGATGCATGTGTACGGAGGCTGAACCGTTGTGATATAATATATATATCCCCGCCCTGCGCTCTGCTCTGGGGTTCCATAAATCGTTCTTGTGGCACGCCGTGTTTCGTGGCCGTTGCAGCGGACCCTTCGCAGCGTTCATGATCGCTTTCCTCGGGCTCTTCGCCTGCTGTGCGTGCTCCAACAATGTGAGCTTTTTGGAAATGACAACTGTGGGGCGTGCCGTCGAGACCTCCATTCGCTATGCATTGTATTCAGTTGATGCCACAATTGTTATCAAGAAAGTATGACCGGTAGTTTTCTCGATCAGAGCTTCCTTACGATTGGATGACGTTTGTTGATCCTGCACCATGTTTGGTGTCATTATTCCAAGAGTTGACGGTGTTTTTGTGAAAGCCAGGCGTTGTAGTGGTCAACGCTAGAAAAACAAGAACGACGCATGCATACACGCTCATCCAAAAAACAGTTCGATCCCAATCCAGGCAAAATACAAAATCAAGTCTAGACCATGAAAACCTGAGCCTCAACTACCTGTCGACTTTAGAAGTCGAAGTGGGAATAGATGAGAAGAGGCGTCACGCTGATTTTTAAGTCGTTCCGTCAGCTCTCTCTGCAGCAAGGATACGCAAGAACCGCCTTTCGAGATGAGGATCATTTTCGTTCAAATCTGACGAGGAACACGGTGTCTGGCAAGCGATTCCGGAGATTCACATAGATCCGGACAGATCCGTTGAGATATTTGCAAGAAAGTATACCCCCTCCCCCCAAAGGCACGAAAAGATTGGCCAGCATGATGGGGTTGGTAAGACAATGACGAAGGTGTATGCACCCAAGAAACGAAGGTTTGGGCATGTAGACTGGGTTGTGGTCGGCGGTTTAGAGGCCCGAGAATGACGGATTGCCTGGGCGATGGGAAAACGGTTTCGGGACACTTCTCAGGCGTTGACGAAAAGAGCGCTACTGCTGTACGGTAATTTTTTCGTGGAACTAGTTTCCGCAACGATGCTACTCTTCTTTGCCTACATCGAAGTGCCTGCACCGGTCGACGCAGGGGTCTGTCTGCCCAAGCCAGACACGATGGTTTACTGTTCTTCGCAGATCTACCGGATAATCGTAGTGTGATCCAACCCCCGCTTAAGCTAGCCCCCCGCTCCAGGTCCTTCGTCGACTCGGCAAAAGCGCTCTCTCTCGTGCGTGTACGCGCCACTGCTCTCGCTGAGCTACTGCTGCATCCACGCTCGATTGTTTTCGCCTTTCGTTTCGACGCCACAGAAACGGGGAAGGGCGCCGAGGGTAGGGGCAGCGGCGGCGGCTGCGAACGTGACCGGCCCCGGCGGTATCCCCACCGCCACGGCCGTGCACCTCGACGACGTGGAGAAAAACGCCTCCTCGAAGGCCGGAGGGTCCACCACCGCTCACGCAGTCGGCACCCCCGTCGGGGCCGGGGGGCCCGTGGATCACAAGCCTTCCGAGTCGCGCCCCCTCCTCGCGGGCAGCGGCGCCACCGGAGGAGGCAGCTGGTGGAACCGGGGGCGCCCCACCCGCGGAGGGCTGCCCGCGAACTCCACCACGTACCAGGGAGCGACTACGTCCGGCAGGGGGGACAGCGACGGCGGTCACCACAGCACGGCCGCCGGAGGGACCACGGGGAGGGGAGACGACCATACCAGCACCGCCCACGGCGGGACCTCGGGCAGGGGCGGCGGCGGCGGCGGCGGCGGCGTGTTTGGTGGGCTCTTCGGTGGCGGAGGAGGAGGAGGAGGAGGCAGTCACTCCAGCACTGCCTCCGGAGGAACGACCGGTCGTAGTGGCGGTAGCGGCGGCGGTCACTCCAGCAGCGCTTCCGGTGGAACTTCCGGTAGATAATTCGTGAGCTTTCGACAACAAGCCCGACGAAATCAAAACAGCACGCGAAACAACCGATGATTTCCCGAGTTGCTTCAGGGATGCGGTAGCTCAGCGTGGACTTCGAAGCTGCGCAAACTATTCGTCGATTCCTTTTTCGCGGGTAAGTGGTGCCGCCGTTGTTTCCACCTTGGCTGTAAGTTAGCGCGCGGAGTCCCCACCGCATCGCTCTCGGCATGTGCCCTGTTTGTTAATTTATGTATTTTCGATCATCTTCGATGTTGTCAATGTAAGCCAACGCGCGCACGCGATTGTTTGCGCTCGTACGCGGTGACGCCGCCGCTGCCTGTCAGGTTTTTGGTGGACGGGGAGAGGGCGGTGTGTGGAGTTGCTTCTGCAGAGGCGGTGCAAGTTTTTTCTCACTACAAGTAGTACACGATGTTTAGGGGTTGCGTTTTTTGTTCTCATGTGTTAGCGCCCCTTTGATGGCGCCAAGCACCGCTTGTGTGTGTGTGTGTGTTTTTTGTGGCCCCTCGAGCTTGAGGAGAGTCTCACACGCAACACGTTGGGCCCAGCAGCAGCCGACGATGTTTCTGTCGGCAGGGTGGTTTCGATTCCTGCGGGGGCGTATTCGCAGCCGGGGATTGCCACCCTTAGACCGCGTGGCGCTCCAACAGACCCGGCACACATGGTGTCCATGTGTCCATGGGGTGCAGTGCAAAAAGTTGTTTGGCGGCAAGTTCGCGACGCGGCAGACATGCGGTACGTGAGCGCGAAAGTAGCAAACTAGGTCCATATCCTTTATACTGGCCAATATAGATGGAGTTTGGATTAATAGCGACCCTAGATCAGACGGCTTCGTTGACGTATTTCGGGCGCCGCAGATGATATACTAGGTGGAAAGCGAGGTTGTGACCCCGGGTCAGACCTCTTCGGTGACGGAGGCAAGGCCTTCCGGCGGGTAAAATCCGCGAGCGACGGGTTATTTAAATGGGATACCGTTGTACGACACTTTAAGAAAGGTGTCGGGTAGAATATGAAGCACTGGTCAGTCTTAGTTTAGAGCTGTTTTTCGTGCCCTCGGAAGTTTAGAGCTGTTTTTCGCGATAGGCTTCAAACCTAATTTTTTGCAAGGGCAATATTGTTCAACAGCCTAGACTACTAGTGTTTCCCGTAGGCTTTAGTGGACGTTCCTTGTTGTGCATCATCCCGATAAAATACGAGCTGGAGAGCCTCTAGGTGATGTAATCTACGCTCCTAAAACGGAAGATCAACCTGCTTGTGTGTTGCCCTTTGCCTTTTTTCTTGCTTCCCAAACGGTAGTATTGATTACGTACGTACGTGATGTGACAGCTCTGTTTTTGGTGGTATCAGCTGAATGGTTCTGTTGGACCCGTCGCGTCACTAGCTTACTATCTCTTAACTAGTAGACTTATTAACAAGCAGCCTCGTGCTGCGCTTGGCTCTTTCGTGCTTTTGTACCCAACGTGTGATGTCGGCGGTGATTAGAATAACACTGGTGGTGAACGTTGTTGTGGACGTTTTGGGTGCCATGAGTACGATTGACCGTGCTCTGGAAGAGCCTTGCTTTCTATTTTTTGCATGATGAACCTTTTCCTCTTCTTTAGGCACGGGTGCTGGAGGTGATGAACTACTGTAGTGCAATACCCTGATACCTTTTGGCAGTGGCAATACTGCGGAGAAAGGGAGAGGATGTACATTGATCGAAAGGATGTGATATATATTTTTTTTCTGGTGGCGGTGGTGGTGGTGGTGGTGGTGGTGGTGTCGACTAGGGGGTGTTCGCATCCATCCGAGCATCGTTCCCAGTGTGGGCTAAATGCGCTCTAGCTCTCTCAATATGGCAGCCAACATTAGGCACAATGCGTTCCAGCTATCGTCGCTTAGTCTGCAACACTGGCTTTGCCGTTGATTCTGTAGGTTCAATACCAACGCTAGCGACAGGGTCGCTCCAGACTTTCGCGGAACACTTGAGTTCTGAATATGTGCGCGTGTGAAGCTTTTGTATTACTCGAGGTTTAGCCTAACGGGGTGCCCACCTCGATGGGCGAGGTTCCGAACAATGACTAAAATTGGTCGCGAATTGTGTAATCACCATTTTCCGTAAATTGCGACATCGTGCGTGCAAATTGGGCATTTGCGCCCGCCACGCCGAGTTGGGTCGAGAGTTCCAGCGGCGAACGACCGATTTCTGCCACAGCTATTTAGCTCGCCCCGACTGCGCCACAGCGACGAGAAAAGAAATTAGTCTCAAGGTTTTACCGCCATCGTCAGGGGGCAAGGAAAGCGAAGGGATTTCGATCCATACGTCGCACCGTAACGAGGCGCATGGAACCAGGACCCCGCAGCAGTCACAACGGACGGAAATAGATTCTTGTTATTGTTTTGGCACATTTTCTACCGCAACACACTTCGGAAAAATACCCCTGCCCTGAGGGAAGCGGTAGCAACCAAGGGCTCAAGGTCACACAGAAGAAAACCAGCATTGGCTCAGATTCCAGGCCCCCCGACGGCACACGGCGAGGGTCAATCCAAGTGCAGCACTGGAGCCTCCGTCATGTCATCTCTTCATCGCGCCCCACGCTCCTGAATTCGGCATCCCCCGCTTTTGCCAGCAACTCCTCAAGCCCCGCAGTCCCGGACATACCCATGTCGCTCAGAGCCTCATCAAGGCCACCGCTAATAGCCCCATCGCCACCGCCACCGCTGCCGCCGTGTCTTCTCGGAACTGTCCCTGCCGCTTCCAGCTCCAATCGTTCGGCGATCTTGGAGAAATGTTCTGCTTCAGGGGATGCGTCGTTTCCGTCCCCTGATTTTCCGAACGCCTCTGCCGCGAAGCGGTAGCACCTTGCGTCCGGCTCTACCCCCTCCGAGCCCATCGAATCCAAGATTTCTTGGGCAGCGTCGTCCCTTTGTATTGACGAATTGTTCATTCGTGGCCCGCAAGAATCACGGCGTACAATTTAGCAGTGGATAAGGGACAACAGGGGATTCAGGGACGTCCGACGTGAAACACCTCAATACGAGTGTACCTGCACCTCCCTCGATGATTTTGCTTCGCACGGCCATCGAAAATGCGAGGATGACTAATAAAGCAATTTTCCAGAGTTAGCGTTAAGGGTCAGTGAGAGTGACGGGGAGTTGTCAGCCCGAGGGGACGTCGGGGTAGGCTGAAAGGGAGCTACGCGCAAGGTGGTGGTTGCCATGCCAAGGGGGGAAGAGGGCCGTCGCCGACTCCATAGTTAAGGTCATGCACCGTCCGTGCTAAATGTATTTACAAGGGCTACAGATTCCTGCCGGGGAGTAATTGCGTCCCATACGGCAACGACTTGAAGAGTACACGTCCGTGCTACGAACAAAGTGGGGGAATCATGGACGTATTGTAGCACCGCCGATCGTGAAAACGGTCTCGTCACGTGGTAGGTCGTGAGATGATTATTTGTGCCTCCACCACTCATTGTACCAGAGCAAGCTATGACCACCGAGCGCTGGGACCGAATTGCACCCTTCCTACACCCCACCGGGCCTGCACACCAAGACGATAGTAACGGACACCAGGGGTCGTAAAGAAGACAAATAAATAATGCAGCTGATGCCAGCAAACCACCCGATTCAGACTCGCCTCCGGCACCGCCCCGACGGTGTAACGCCTCCAACTTTTCGCCGAAACAAGAAAATCAACAATACCGCAATGAGATACGCCATCCCCTGGACCGACTTTGAAAGCTTGACCACTCCCCAGTAGCAGGAGTGGCGGCGCGAAAAGGCCTGCGTTGGAATAATCTCGTCGATAGCTTCGCGAAAACGTATCGTTTGATTTTACACCCTCTCCGTCGTGGGGTAATTCAGAATTGACAATCGGCCCAGGGTGTGGGATATCTTACATCATGCCACCTACGGCAACAACATCATCGGGTTTCTCCCCCCCGCGCTGCCCCGCCCCACCTTCTGCGCGCGGCGCAAGCGCGGAGCGAGCCGTGGTAGTCCGCGAGCGTCGGCGTCATGTCCCTCCGGAGCATCTCGCCCAGCAGCCCCACGCACGCGTCCACGTTGTTGGCGAAGCCGCAGGCCGTGATGGCAAGGCCATAGCCCGTCAGATCCGGACAAGGACCCTTTTTTCGGGGGAGAGTGGGGGAGATGGAGACGGCGGATCAACACTGCACACATCACGAGATGTACAAAGTAGTAGTTCGGGGTCGCTCTCTAGTAGGGCGGGTTAGATAGGGCGGGTGGCCGGCATAGAGCGCGTGAAATCTCTTGGCACAAGACACAACCATCTCGTTCACTTGATTCTTTGAATGGGGCGGGTGTCCGCTATGGGGCGGGTGAACCTACCTAGCACGTATGATCGCGCCAAGGAGAGGCCCCGACTGTAGGCGAACGTGTCCTGATTGCCATGTTGGCGGATGTACAGAAGGCGACACCACTCTAATGAGCCTCTTCCTTATTTCGCACGAGGTTAGTTTGCTAATTTTCTCTATGTATCAGTGTACACTTAGGTTTTAGCATAGGATGATCAACTGAGCACGTGTTGCAGTGGTCTTACTATGGGGTGCTTAAACAGGGCACCTGTTCCAGTGATCAAGTCCTTGAAACGATTTCTTATTATTTGAGCCTGTGGGTTTCTTAATCCCCAGGTCCTTACGTGGCGACGCGTACTGCAATCGGCGTTGCTATTCACATGGATGGGATGGAGGTGACGTGGCGATGAACATGGACACAGGAAATATTAATATGTATACACAAATTAGCAAATTAGCAGCAAGCGTTCGGTACTGCCGTGTCGGAGGACGGAGCGTGTCTCACCACCATGTCCAGGACCTCGAGGGCCTCCCGCCAGCCGCCCTCTCGCCCCTCCGCCGCCTCCATTTCAGCTCCCTGCCAAGGCGTACGAGTCCGGCGCACGGCGGTGGCAGGCAGATGGGGGGGGGGGCGCGGAATGGACAGTCAGCATCGTGTGGGACGTGACATAGAAAAGCGGTCGAATGGAGACGGGGATGCGTTCAAATAGCGTGGCACTGATCGGGACTTTTTGCTGGAAAGCCCCGCCAGACGACTATTAGTGGCCGAGGACCTCGGTTCCGCACACCACACAATCGCAAACCATAAATGTAGGACAGCGTTAAATCTTTACGACGTTGGCCTGACAAACAAGCGGGGTCGACGGGCGACGGCATGGCATGAAAACTGGACCACATCACCACTTCAAGCTCACCCCCTGTGTGCCCTGAGACTTGGGCCACACGCACCCCGAGTGGGACCCGCTTCGAAACTACTGGTAGAGAGTGTCTTCCAGCTTCAGAGAAAAAGATCCCAAAGATTCTTCCTCTCTCCAAGGCATGCGGTTTTTCTCCCCGCACGGTCCCAGTGCATGGGAGTTAGTTCCCTGTTCCACTCGAGGCGTTTCCTCACCTTGGCGCAAGCAACCAGAGCCGCATTGAAGGCCAGAGACGACGCCTGACCAAAGTACGTCCAAGCCCCGCTGCGGCCACCGACGCTGGAGCCATCACCGCTGCCGCTGCGGTCGGCCTCCAGCCCGCCGCTTTTGTTCTGCACATCACGAAGGATACCCACGGCCTTTTCCCACTGCCCCCCCCTGCACCGGCAGACACACACGACAAATGACGCTTCGTTCAGTTCGCGCGGAATGTTGTCGACTGCGTGCCTGCCCTAGGAAAGAACGCCAGAAATCCTTGATTCTGACGCCAGAACTGCTTTTTTTCTATGTTGTTGATACGGGAAGCCCCCTCGAAGCTGCGGTGAAGGGTTTGGGACCGGCGGTCGCACAAAGGCTACCCTCGCGTAGCTTCCGGCAGTGCTACAAGCTACGGCACGTTTGACGAGAACATGTGCAGCTTTTGCGTCAAGAAAACGGTGCCACGTGAGGCTGGAAGCAAAACCCATCGTACAACACGGATACGCTGAGGCCAGAAGCGCCCCACAAACACGCCTATGAAAGTCAACTCCGTCAAAATTGTGCGGTGTCGACCCCGGCAAGCTCTAACACAAGGCCCTCATTTTCAAAACAAAAATACGCAGAAAGGGCGTGCAACAGCGCCACTGATTCAACATAAGACCATTTAGACCAGCTTGTTGCCTGCTTTCCTCTGGACATATCCAACGGAAGGGGTGGACGCTTGGCTACATAGGCCTAAACAAAGAGTTCGCCCCTGATTGCAGCGCCGCTTGCTTCAGTCGAACCCTACCCACACTCCCCGAGGCGAGGTCCGCACGCCCTCCGGCCTCGCGAAGCGCACACCAGACCCGTCTCGTCTTGAGCAGGTTACAGTCCCGGCGAGAGACTGAGTTTTCATCAACAGATTCTTCACAGCACCGCCTGCTGGAGGCACCCAAAGCCGGCTCATGCTTGCACACAGCTCGGACAAGCCGGCGACACTTCGCGGTGGTGGCGCGAAACACCGCCGGGGTTCTTCATCCGGAAACTGCACCACGTCACACCCGCGCTACGCAGGCAGCCGAGGACAGCTGAAACAGAGCGAGTGCGGTGCGGCGCCCCCCCCCTGCATGTCTCACTACCATCCGAAACGACAACAATATTTCAACAACATTTCAATGGTGTCCCCCTGCGGTCGACCCCTCACCTCGCGCAAGCAGTGAGGGCGGCCACCGTGGCCCGGGGAGGCGGTAGCAGCACCCCCGGCCCCTTCGAAACGCCTTCGGTGCGAGAGGAAACCCCACTCTCGCCCTTTCTTCGTTGATGAGCTCCCGCCTCGGAGTCGCCGGCCGACGAAGCGGAAGAGTCCGCAGCCATGTCGGCCACCATCTGATCGTACAGCCCGAGGGTGAGACGCCACTCTCCGGCCTTGTCGCAGGAGCTGATCGTCGTCGCGTGGTCGCCGGGAAAAAGTAGATTGCATTCGCCGGGGGTGGGCTGTTCAAGCTTGGGGTGATGGCGTACTTCAGGAAATGCTGGAAACTGAAATCGCTGCAAATCCTACGTACCGTTGTTGTAGGTCATGGCCTTAGCTTCAATTGCTTGAGCGATTTGGGATATATGCTTGGAAGAATATATCATCAGTATCCTGCTACAATACGGTGGTAGTCATGGCTTGACCCCGACTGGTAGTTGAGCGAGCTATCCCTGTCCTCCACGACCAGAACAGAACACCGCATGTGACACGTCTGGACCCCGACCCATCAAGCTCATTGATTTCGAATTTAAGGACTTGTTTCTTCTACTACAACCGTCGACTGCACATACAAAGCGAGGAGCCCTGTTCTAGGAATGCTGTTGCGGTACAAGTAAGCAACCAAGTCTTTGCGGAGCGACGTTCATCTGGTCTAAAATGCCCGAAACACTAATGTCCGGAGCCATGCTAGCCCTAGACATAGCCTACACGTACTACCTCCCGTCACCTACCAAAAGAGAAAGTCGAAATGAAAGCTCGGTTTGCTCGTCTTGTCTCTATGTCTTTCAACATCAGGCATTTCACCAAATGACTTCTAACAAAGTGGTGGCTCAAGGTGAGCAGCACAACATCAATGCTGTTCCGCACTTTCTCCTTCGTCTTTCCCCTTTTCCTTTCTCTTTTCTCTTCGTCTCTCTAGTGTTTCTCCTCACTCCAGCACACCTTATGGCTCCGGCGTAGCTAATGGCGTCGGGTCGAATCCCGGCCGACCTCATGTCCTTCAACACCGAGAGCACGAGCGAGAACTCTCCGGCCTTGTCGCACGCACCAATCGCGGCGTTGTGGGCGACTAGCCCCGCGGGCACACCGTCGTCTTTCATCGCCTGAACGGAAGGGATCGCCCACAAGCATGCATGCGCGCGCGTGGGAGATTGGGAATGGGAAAGCCAAGTTCTTGGGAGTGCGATGCTGCAGCGTGGCCTTTTGGTCGTCCGGAGCAAGAGTCCCTTGGACCGTCTCTTGTTGGCTCGGGTAGATCGCAAGTACCGCTTTGGGAGATCACAGTTACCTATTCGGGTAGATCTCATGTGCCGATTCGGGTACATCGCATGTACAGCATCGGGTAGATCACATGTACCGATTCGGGAGATCTCATGTGCCGGTTCGGGTACATCGCATGTACCGGGTAGATCACACATGCCGGTTCGGGCGGATGGATTTACGGTATCACGGACGGGGGGGGGGTTGCGATACTTGCAACGATAATATCGAACGGAAACGTTATGTAGGCATACGTACCCATGACCTAGCTTGGAGGCAATGAACGACGCACCTGGAGCAGTCCTACCGCTCTCTTGGCTTTGCCAGCGTTGCCGCACGCCGTGATGGCGTTGCTGTAGGTGCTCTCATCAGGCGCAACACCGCGTTCTCCCATCGTCTGTTGTGTTTTCGCGAAACGTCGAAAGCAGCGGGGAGTCTCGTCAGCTTGCGCCAGGATACCAACAGCAGCATTTTTTCACTCCGTTGACGGGCGTCGTTAGAAGAAAAAAAACAAGACTGGACAGCATTCGCATGGACGAAAAGAGACCGGCATGTGTGTCGAGGTGATGGGAACTCGCAGGTGGCAGTGATGTAGGAACGGTGTGCGTCCGTATCGGGGAGGAAGACACGAGGCTCGCCGGAGAACCACGCAAACAACCAGAAAAAACGAACTCTTTCATGTGCACGGGCGGTGTCGAAACAATCAATTGCTAAAAACAACCAGAACTGCGGGAAAAGAAACACACGGGGAGAGAGGGTGAGATGAAAATGTTGTCAAAGAGGCAAACGAAAACGTTACGTGAAAACTAACCCCACCCGCCACATTAATGAACTCAGGCTTACTAACATAGACAGTCATCTGTATTTCGCGGTCATGTGTAGTGACCAAACGCCGTCTCCAGAAGCACGATCGACGAATGTATCTAGCAAGCATACGCCCGACTAGCACCACTCAGGCCTTTTTGCCCTGTGCTACCGTACATACAACGCATATGGTTCGAGCGAAAAATCCCTGAAAACATGAACAACAGACAACTGCTACATGAGCAGGCCTAGGCAGGGGGAGCCCTTAGAAACTATCCAAGTGATGTATCTACCTCTACGATGCTCAGCGCTTGCTCGAATTCCCCGCTGCTGCCGCACGCCTTAACGGCGCAGTTGTAGCACACCAGGTCCGGCCTGGAAAGTTGTTGTTGTGCAGGCATAGCGGGAAAAGATTATCAATAACTATCGCGGATGTTGCATCCCGTTGCATCATGCCAGCCTTCTATACCTTTGATTGACTTTCGTGCCAGACAAGCAGGACTCGACGTTGCTCATTTTGTCGTCACCGTAAAGAGCGTGGGTGAAAGCAGAGGTGTTCGATCGATTGTATTAAGCTCGATTGCCTCACAACGAAGAGGCTGCAATTGCCGACAATGGTGGTTTTGAAAAGATCTTGTCAAGAGCTTTCCTTTGCACTCTTCGGTCGGTTTTCTTTCGCTCCGCTCCCTCTTGGCTGTGAGCAATGGATCTGAAAATATACAATGTACGCGTTCGAACGCACTTACGCCTGCGCCTACCACCGCTTGTCTTTGGACGTTTCTCTCGTGTACCGACATGACGTAAAAAAAATCAACCGGGACAACAAAGAGTAGACAGAACAACGCATGCCTGTCTGGCCATCACCTGTAAAGAACATCTGAGCAGCAACGACAGCCAGCAAGAATGCACCTACCCCCGTGCGTCCTCTGCACCCATCTCTCTCTCTCTCTGCATCTCTTCATGCCACTGTGTCGAATGGTTCTGTCTGTATATCTAAGCCCTTTTTCCCGCTCCCCCTCCCCAACTCACTCCACGCCCGTTTTTTCTCGCATGTCGTCCAGGAGGCCAACGGCCTCACGCCACATGCCGGCCAGATCGCAGGCGATGATCGCCCCCGAGTAGCTCGCTGCATCCGGCGGAACCCCCCTTCAAACCGGACAAAAATAACACAAAAAAACATTCATGCGGTCGTTCGGTACAGTGCATAGAAAGGCTACGGTAATACCATACCGTGGTATGTCCTACAGTGATCCCTGTACAAGGCTGCAAAAACCGCATAAATTAAGACAGTGGCCCCGTACATATAGGGCCGGCGGCATCGCGTGACACAGACAGATGGAATATCAAGTTGTCTCATATTGACTGTAGTGCCGGGTGCCCTGTACAAGACGGGCCGAATCCTTTGGCACTGCTGTGCGGCCTTGTTCGAGGACCTCTGCTGCTCAACCTCGGAATGCATGTATCCTCTGGCCCACCGGATTTTCATGTACTCGTCAAGACTACCCTCTTGTTTTCACTCCATGTTTTTGTTTGTTCTCTGGGCTGGGATAAGGTTGCCACAGTAACACACGCAAGGACAGCACAGGACGTTGGGGCACAACAACCGAGCACAGAAAAAAAACTGGAAACAACATAAACGGACTCGTACCAGAAAAAAAAAGAAAAAAAACAAAACAAGCGCGCAGAAAGCAGACATCGGCGGCACCTGTTACGCCGTAAAAACAAAACGGTTTTATTGATTGCTACGGAGGGTTAGGATTGTTAGGGTTAGGGTTAGGGTTGTTAGGGTTAGGGTTAGGGTTGTTAGGGTTAGGGTTTGGGTTGTTAGGGTTAGGATTAGGGTTGTTAGGGTTAGGGTTTGGGTTGTTAGGGTTAGGGTTAGGGTTGTTAGGGTTAGGGTTTGGGTTGTTAGGGTTAGGATTAGGGTTGTTAGGGTTAGGGTTTGGGTTGTTAGGGTTAGGGTTTGGGTTGTTAGGGTTAGGGTTAGGGTTGTTAGGGTTAGGGTTTGGGTTGTTAGGGTTAGGGTTTGGGTTGTTAGTGTTAGGGTTTGGGTTGTTAGGGTTAGGGTTTGGGTTGTTAGGGTTCGGGTTTGGGTTAGCGTTAGTGTTGTTCTTTTTAGGCCATCTCACCGCCGGTGCATTTCTTGCAGCAGCGCGAGGACAAACTCGGTGCCGCCGGCGGCCCCGCAGGCGCGAATCACGTGGTTGTACGCCTGCACCAACCCCGACGACGAACCTCCGTCGGGACCCCAATCTGCGTCGCCCCCGACCGATTCACGGCCCCCCTCAAGAGCCCCGTTGATCCCTGGAGGGTTGTCCGCGGGCTGAGCTCTGGCTTCACACGCGTGCATAAGGTCTAATATCTGAGGGAGGGGGTAACGCAGAGGGGATCGACGAAGTCGAGGGGGGCGGGCGACGTGGTATCATTAGGAATCATCTAGAAACGTGTTGGTAGTACGGAATCGACGTTCCTTTCGGTCGCGAAAACATCGCGGGGTCCTGCTTGTGGATGACGGGAAGAACATTGTAAGAGTAGGACTCATGAGGACACATTCAGTGCTACAGGAAGCACCCATTCTGAGAAGGGTTACCATGGGGTCTCGAGAGGCCACTGATGGATACACGGGTATTCGACACGGAGAATGCTGGCATGATCGGGCGGATCACCACGTGTGGCACCGTCCCGCTCACTCTGCCTGGACCCTCTCTTCTTGCCAAACTATCAACGGAGAAACTCTGCTGCCCCACAGTAGCGGGGGAAAGCTACCACGACCTTAGGGTTCTTCTGCCCCGTATTTCTGCAACGCGGGTTGCCCCGAGGTCAATTCACCGCCGTTAAGAACGAGCAGCGCGCGTAACTCCAGAACCCTTACAACCCGTATGCGAACGGCCTTCGAAAAGACGGCATGAAGAGAGTGCCACGCCCGCCTTTCAGAAATCGGCCCGCATCAGCGGCCGTTTCAACACAACACTTCATGACCGATTCAGAACTGTCCTTTCATGACCGGTTTATCAAACGGAATAGCAATGGGGGCACAACGACATGTCGAGACAGGGAGATGGCGCAACCCGCGCCTTGTGGAGCCTGACACCTGTACAATGGACGACCACTCCGCCCCCCCGAAGCAAGCCGCCGTCAACCCCGCCGAAAAATCCCTCGGTGCCGGAGAAACCCTCCTCCCCTCTTCCCCCTCGACCTCGCCCCGCGCCATGCTCTCCAGAAGCGAAACCGCCACTTTCCAGGGGACGACGGGAGGGGACGATCCAACACGTCCCCGGGTTTCTTCGCCGGAGGGGGTTTCCACTGCCGACGAGTGGGCTGCTGGCGGTGGCCGGTTTGAAGGAGCGGGCGGGGGGGAGGGGACGGGGGCGGGTTGTCCCCGGGTTTCGATTGGAGGCGGTGCGTTCTCGAGGGCGATGAGGGCCGTGCGGAGGGTGATCCCGTTCGGGGAGACGCCGTCCTGGCGCATGAGCTGGTGCCAGACGCGGCAAGAACAAAATCACCATCAGAAAGCAGCGGAGGCGGCGGCGGCGGCGGCGACAGGAGGGGATTTGGGGCACGCGGCCATAAAACAGCAACAGCAGTGGCAGCACACGCCCAAGCCGGGAGAGCAACAGCGACAGCAAAAAGCGGCAGGCCCACTCCCCTCTCCAAGCTCCTCACGATCCTCCCAATGTTTAGTCGCCTTCGGTGGTGCCGCTTTTTCGACCCCCAACAAGACCAAACCTACTACGTTCAAGAAGCTTCGACCTGGTAATTTTTGCGTCGTTCACCAAAAAAGAACGTCCGCTTTTGCCCACCACAACCCCCCCACGATATCCTTCTTCTCACGTCCAGCAGACCCACGGCCTCCTCCCAGCGACCGGCCTTTCCGCAGGCGGACACGGCCGCCGTGTAGGCGAAGACGTTAGCCTTGCCCTTGGTCTTCATCCCTCCTCCCTCGTTTCCACCGTCGCCGCCGTCCTCCTCCTCCCTGGCATCGTCCAGCATCATCAGGGCCACGTCCCAGGCACCGCTGCGGTCGCAGGCTGCGATCACGATGCTGTCCGATTCAACGGTAACATTGTTGTGGGGAAAGCCGACTTTAACGCGGGAAGGAATGGTGCTCGGTTTGTGCGGGGCGGGAGCGTGCTTTGGGGGGGGGGGGGTACTCATAGTCGTGCATGCCGTAGTCGTTAGACCATTGACCTCGCATCCCTACAAAGCCGGGACGGAGCACGCCGGATTCTCACCGGACCAGGCTCTCACATCACCAAGCGTGAAGCGCCGTGAGGTATTCGGCGAGTCGCATGAAGGGTGAGCTTCATCCTGCTAAGGGTGTTCGGCATCTTGTGCTTACTTCCTTGCGTACGGATGACAGCTGTGTATGACTTAATCTATTTTCTGGTGCTTTCAATTCCAGAGACAGTTATAAGCACTGCTGTGTACCTGCCTCGAGGATGCTTGACCATTTTAACACAACGTGGTGCGATCATCCCCTTTGCGCGATGTGAGGGTTCTCAACCCCGCACAACATGATCTACTCGACCACCATTATGGTCACCGCAAAAAAAAAAAAACGAGGTAAAAAAAAAAAACGGTAACCTGGTTGCCGAGTTCACGAAGTGAATTGGCTTATTTTACAACGTCATTGCCAAGCAACGAAAACCCAATCCCGATGGCAAACACCTGGGGGGGGGGGCTTGTTTTACAACGTCGTTGCCAAGGGAAGAAAACCCAACCCCGATGGCAAACCCCGGGAGGGGGAAGGGGGGGGGGGGGGGTACTCATAGTCTTGCATGCCGTAGTCGTTTGACCATTGACCTCGCATCCCTACAAAGCCGGGACGGAGCACGCCGAGTTCTCACCGGACCAGGCTCTCACGTCACCAAGCGCGAAGCGCCGTGAGGTATTTGGCGAGTCGCATGAAGGGTGAGCTGCATCCTGCTAAGGGTGTTCGGCATCTTGTGCTTACATCCTTGCGTACGAATGACAGCTACGTATGACTTAATTCATTTTCTGGTGCTTTCACTTCCAGAAACAGTTGTTCGCACTGTGTAACTGCCTCGAGGATGCTTGACCATTTTAACACAACGTGGTGCGATCATCCCCCTTGCGCGGAGTGAGGGTTCTCGACCCCGCACAACATGATCTACTCGACCACCATTCATGGTTACCGCCAAAAAAAAAAACGAGGTAAAAAAAAAACGGCGACCTGGTTGCCGAGTTCACGAAGTGAAATGGCTTGTTTTACAACGTCGTTGCCAAGCGACGAAAACCCAATCCCGATGGCAAACACCGGGGGGGGGGGCTTGTTTTACAACGTCTTTGCCAAGCGACGAAAACCCAAACCCCCATGGCAAACACCGGGGGGGGGGGCTTGTTTTACAACGTCCTTGCCAAGCCACGAAAACCCAAACCCCGATGGCAAACAAGGCCCAAGGGGGGGGGGGGAAAGGGGGGGGGGGTTCCCCCTTTTCCC